AAAGTAGCCAGGTAACAACTAACTCACGACTTAGCTGACAGAACCTCGAGATATCCTCCAACACGTCCTCACGCTACGAACGTTCGACCAAGACTATACAAGATGTATTTTTCATATAACTCGCATGTTCATATATCATATATGATAAACCATATATGTCCCATATATCATATATGCCTATTTCTTATAAAATCATATATCATTTTTCTGTATGGGTATGATGCATTTATATGAGCCAATATATGAAAATGTATCATCATATAGACTGCATCAAGATCCGTCTTTTGGACAAATGAGAAGTCCAACTCCTGTTCCTTCAGGAGAAAATTGCATTTGAAAAATGAAGAAATATGTCAGTCAGGGAGGTGAAGTGGAGAGGAATTAAAAAATCTTCCTCCTGAGATACTGCGAAAATGGACTTATCGTCTACTATCATATCACCACAGAATTGCACTATATGTTTATATATGCCACATATGTGTCTTTTATGTCAGACTGGCTAAATATTGGGTTGGAAATAAAGTAGTCGTTTTTTAATCCTTGAACAAACGTGTTAATTCATGTTAAAAACAAGTTGATGGGTCTTATTTTTATGTTTAATGAAAGGAGTGACCCCTTCTCTTGTGTATTCACTTACTTTTTCTTTTCTGCAACAAGTTGTGTCCTCCTTTAAGCATAATGAGTGTAGATGAAATTCATACGTGTCATTGCATGCTCTATGAGTTCAAAAAAGGTTCAAGAGCTAGGAAAACCATATGCAGTGCATATGGAGAAGATGCCTTGAATATCCGGAAGTGTTAGAAGTGATTTTCAAAGTTCCAATCTGGGAACTTTGATCTCTCTGATTCGCCTCGTTCTGGTAGACCGATCAAGATCAATATTGAAGATCTGCAAGCTTTGGTGAAAGCAGATCCCAGGATTACAACTTGAAAAATTGCCCGAAGACTCAATACAACACATATGACTGTTTGTACTCGCCCCAATAAGCATGGAAAAGTCTCAAAGCTTGGTGATGGGTTCCACATGAACTTACAGATAACAACCGCACGCAACGAATCTCCATTTGTTCCTCTCTGAGAGCAAGGTAAGGTAAGCTCATGAGCCATATCTGGAACGAATTGTGACTGGAGATGAGAAGTGGGTGTTGCATGTGAACATTCAATGCAACAGTGGTTAGATCCCAAGGAAACCCCATTACCAACCCCAAAGATTGGCTTGCACCCACAAAAGGTTTTGTTTCGCATATGGTAGAATATTATGGGCATAATTAATTTTGAACTGTTGTATCCAAATCAGACTGTCACTGCCGAATGATACCGTCAACAGTTAGAGCATTTAAGCCAAGCTTTAATAACAAAACGGCCTGTGGTGGTGAATTGAAAAGGCGTAATGCTACTGCATGATAACGTGTGACCCCATTTTGCAAGAATGATGCAGGAAAAACTTCTGACACTGCAATGGGAACTTTTGCCTCATCCACAATGCTCTCCAGACCTTGCTCCATCTGATTATCATTTATTCAAATATCTTCATTGGTGTTACTATACCTCTTTCTGTCCAATAAGTGCTGAAGTGAAGACTAAATAATAATTTTTTTTAAATCAAAACCTGTCTAATTCTACAGTTGTGGCATCCAAAATTTGGTGAAAAGATGGGAATGAGTGATAGAAAATGAGGGAAACTATATTCTTGAGTGATGTTATCATCAATCCTTTGCTTTTTTGAATAAAAAGTACATTGTAAAAAAACATTACTTTCTTTTCAACCCAATATATGAATGACTCCATATATGGTGCAATGGTATTAGCTAATATATGAAAATATGAGGCTATATTTTTTCTTTCTTATGATTTTATGTGACTTGTGTTAAACCACATATATGAATTGCACTATATGTTCATACATGCACCATATATGGTATTATATGAAATTTTCACATGGGAATACCTAGTCCTGCCATAAATACGGATACAAGGTTTTTTTTGTAATAACTTTAATATAAAACATACGCTGTATTCGCTAACAGCATTTATTTCCCTGCATAATTACAAGCAGATTACAGAAACATTGTTCAAAACGTCCACCCCTGGCCTTCACACGACTTTAAACAATCAGGCCACTCATCGATCGCAGTACGCACCATGTCCATTGAAATATTGGCTGCTGATTTTGCAAGGGCTCGCTTGAGACTTTCAATATTTCGATATCTTCTGTGGCAGGCCATTAGCTCCAACTATCCCCACAGTTTGTAGTCCAGTGGGTTCAAGTCGGGGCTCCCAGATGGCCATTCTGAGGCCTTGATGAACTCGGAGACATTGTTGGTTAGCCACTCCTATGTTGTCTTAGCTTTGTGAGCAGGTGCAGTCTTGCTGGAAGATCCAGTTGCCCCCATTGAACATTGTTTGGCTGAGAGGCTTCACTGTCTTCTCTAAGACGTTTTCCTGGTACACCTTGGCTGATGTCTTCACTCCTTGCTCGCAAAAATGCAGCTTGGTGACACCCTCATAGCTCACCCCCCACCAAACCATGATGGAAACAGGATGGTGAGCTCTCTCCACCTCATGGATGACTTCTGCAGCTTCCCAGGAGTTGTGGGCATACGCTTGGGTCATTTTGCCAGTTTAATTTTTCTTCAATTGTGAAAATTTTCTCATCAGTAAAGATGATTTTGCTGTGTCTGTTTTGTGCATACCTCTGCAGCAACCCTTTCGATTGTGACCTGATTGCTTTCAGAGATGGAGTCAGCATGTGTCCTGTGCTTCTTCAGTAAACATGCATCCTTAGGTCTGATTTAATCAACTGAGACATACTTCTAGTCGAGATGGCCATTTCCCTGGCCATCACTTTCTGCTTGCAGAGAGGATTTCACTGAATCTTGTTGCTAACTGCTTTGATGACTCATGGTCTTCTGGCAATGCATGGACGTCCAGATCAAGGGCGGTCTCATACTCCCTGAGTATCATTGTAACGTTTGATAGCTTGGTAAACAAACTGCTGACTGATTCCAAGTAACTGCAAAGTCTTAAAAAATGGTTATAGGTTTCTGACCCACTTTGTGCAGGGCAATCACTGCTATGCAATTCTTTGTCACTCCACTCCATGTTTACTGCATGCAACACAACTGCCAAAATGTTACCAAACAGTACAGTGGATAATACACTGCAGGATACACTGCAGGTTACAATATTCTAGCTTATTTTGCTAGAATGCAAGGAGCATGTAAATCTTGTAACAGTATTTATGGCAGAACTAGGTATAGTGCATGTCCATATAAATCTGGGTTGCCATATCTGATCACAGACCTTCTGTGTTGGAGTAGCCACACTTATGTTATCATACACAGTCAACATGCAATGTTTGCAAGAGGGAATATTCCTGGCCAAAATCCCTTTTGAAGAAGCAAGAAATGCTTGAAATACCTGGAAATATTATTAAACTTGTTTAAGAAAGAAAATGTTCAAAGGAACACAGCAATCCTGAAATCTAATACATTTTCCAAATTTATTAATATGACAAAGTGAGTGCACATTCCTCGTGCAGTGTTTTGTGCACAGTTATCATGAAATAAAATTGCCAAAATTTAAATGCAGGAATGGCATGAAGTCATGGGAATGAGAAGAAAAATACCCTTTTGGAGAAGTTCATCAAGGAGAGAAATCCACTCAGCGCGGAAGATGTTGGCACCAGTAAGAGAGCCATCTCCACCTATGCACACCAGGTTGGTGATCCCTTTCTTCACAAGATTTTTAGCTGCCCTCAATCGCCCATCACGTTCATGGAACTCCATGCACCGGGCTGAACCTATAACTGTCCCTCCCTGTAATGCATACATACATACATGCACACATTCCAAGGGAAGCCAGGCAAACTGAGCATTAGTAAAATTATGACTGGCTCCCTTACAATAACCGCTATGAGAAAGTTGAGAGGATGCAAAATCTTTTTTACTCTCAGGTGCTACATTATTATGTTGGTGAAACTAATACTGGGAGACTCAGGGAGGATTCAGACCAAAGAACACCATAACATTTCTTTACCTGCTTTTGTGCCAGATGAGACATTTCAGCTTGCCAAACACTGCATGTTCACAAAGTTGAAAATGAATTTTTGTGCTTACCTGTTGGCTCAAATGCCTGAAAGAAAGACTAACTCAAGTACTACGTTGAATCAAAATTCAAGTTGGTCAACAAGCACATTTCCCATATTTGCTTGATTCTTCTAAGCATTGGCTAGAATTCTTGTTGGCATAAAGAGAGATTCTGAGTAAGCTAGACTCAGAGAAAGAGCCCAACTATGATTGTAAATGTGATCTGACAAAATGACCAGAAAGGAGAAAGAAGACCTTGTGAATGATTCCTGAGACACTTGACCAAGAAGCCAGGACAATGTGGTCACCACCATCCACCAACCCTTGGTAGCCTTCTTTGATGAAATATGCCTTTGCACCCAGGTATATTGACATGCGGATCACTGCCCTCACTGCAGCGTTCATCCCTACATTACAAAGAAACCAGTCAAAAAAAAGTACCTTCTCAATTAGATTCTAGGGCTCACCATGAGAACTTCAGGGTTCCTTGTTCATACATCAATAGGAATGGCAGTCCCATACTTGGTGATACTTTAATAGTTTTTATTACTTTATGGGACACAGTTATCAACTGCTCTAGGGTTGGGAGCACAATCTCTTTCAGTTCAGCATTCACTGTGATCCTCTTTCCAATACCAGGTGGTAAAAAAAAAGCCTCCAGTAATTTTCAGTAATTTGTTCTTTACCATCTTATTGTTTCCTCCATGTCTCCACATAATGCCAGCACTTCAGGTATTATCTGATTTACAGACTGCCCATTAAGGTATGAACCATACTCACAAATCCAGAACTCGGCTTATGGTGGACACCATGAGCTGAAATTTGGTGAACATCAAGCTCAAGTCATGAGTTTTTGAGAAAAAGTATCTACCCAGCTTTATACTCAGCAGTACATGTTCAGTAGAATCTTTGAATAAAAAAGTTACCATTTCCATTACTAATTCAAAAAAGTATCAACTTTGAGGGAACATATTGCAGGAATGCAAGTATAAATTTCCATGAGAAGAGTGAAATCTGATTCCATAAAGTATTTCATTAAAAAAAAATGACATTGCACTTTTGAAGCATTTTCAGCAGATTCAAACAATTTAGGCCCAAATGCACAAGCCTCACTTAGGGGAGGTAAAGGGGCCTTTAAGCTTAAGAGCACTCTTTCCCCCATAGGAGTCCTTGTATACCTAAAGGATCATTAACTAAAGGAGGTTTCAGCATTTGGGCCTTGGTCTTCAACCTAATACTAAGATCAGCATATAGATACCAAAATAAAGGTACTCAAATATAACTTGAATTCATGCAATGTGACACTTCTATCAAATTTTCTAAGACATTTTAGCTAAGTTTTCCTCAAGAGAAGGGTTGTTGGTATTTACAAATTGCATGCAAGCTAAGGGAAGGACTCCAGTTGTTCCCACCTTGAGCGTCTCCTCCGCTGGTGAGGACAGCAATTCCTTTTCCCCTCTGAGTTCCTCTGGCAATAAATGCTCCTTCAGAAGTTGTCTGTCCATCCATTGACATCCGGCGAATCAAGTGGGCTCCACCTTCGAAGCCTTGAGAGGATGCTGACACACCCTTATCAGAGGATTCTGAAACACCTCTATCAGGGGATTCTGAAACACCTCTATCAGGTGATTCAGCTCTTTCAGGGGATTCTGACATCCCTCTCACAACTGTATTCATCATTTCTTGTCAGTACACTATCCTCTCCATTTACACAAGATGTTCACCTGTATGCCTTTGATACCAAAGGCTTCACCATGAGGATACAAATAGAAAGCATATATTAAAAGCTTCTTGAAAATGTTACATTTTTCTGCCAGAAATAACCAGTGAACACAAAACTCATACAAAAATCAAAAACTCTATTATAGGGTCTCTTTCTCTAAAATAGCCCACTCACCCAATTCAAAGAAAGGGGGGAATTATGGAACTTCTTCACCTTAAGCGGTGTAGATGATTGGTCTCTCTCTCACGAGGCAATTCCAGTTGGCATGCCTAAGCCAATACTGGCATTTTGAAATCTCACCAATTTGATACTTCAATTCTATGCTGACTTAAGCATTTCTGATGCAAGCAAACACAAAAAAACTACTAACATGAACTGCAACTTTTCTGGAGCAAGTTCAAAGATATAAAGCTAGACACTTTTGTAATAACAGAAAAATGGATGCATACAGTGAAATTGAGTGACACAAGGTGCCTGGATACAACATAACTTTCAAACACAAAAAAAGATAAAAATGGTATTCAATTTCAGCCTATGCAGGACATGAATTTATCAGGATATTAGTCACAAAGACAGAATAAAAAGTTATATAATATACTAATGAATGTAAAAGATAAAAAAAAAATTAGTCATTTGACAGACCTGGAGGATCCCATTCACAACCCCAAGCTCTGAAATCCCTTCCATATTTTATGATCACTCTCTGCTTGCTTCCTACCAACCAACTTATTCAGTTGATCACTCCTCCTTTGAGCACGTATTTCCAATGCAGCTAGTAACCTCTTGGGAGGAATAGAACGAAAAGCCATAGCAGAGTCTAAATGTGACCTAACGTCAGGCTCCACGACAAGCATATTCCATGTAGTCTGAAACAACTCAAAAATGGACCAAGGTAGGTCGATCAAACAACGAGAGGAAACCGAAGGACGAGTAACCGGCACTGAGTAAGCCTAGGATAACTGGAAGGTAGCCGAGGCCTAAGACCTCGATCAAGGACTGAGGAGTGAGTAGAGGAGGCCATGATGGGAGACTTGAAGGGTACGAAGCCCGGGGTCACCTTCAACTCCTCTCTGATACGTACGTCCACGCACTTGCGAATGAATTCGTATCACCTTTAACCTAGACTCCATTGGCCTAATGTTACTTCTTTCTGGGAGACATCCCCTCACCTGCTTGCATGCACAAGAAAATAATACGCACAATGTTGATGGTCATACGCATTTATTTCCAATCAGAGATGCTGAATTTGCTTCTATGTTTTTCTCTTGAATCCGACAATTTTTCACTTGACTTGAACACTCGTTCATGGGACGTTCCTCATGCATGATTGTCGAAGTCGAATGAAAAAATGCCTAACTCAAGTGAAAAAAAGGTTATGCTGCACAGGGCCAGCCCGAGCCTTTTCGGCACCCTGTGCAAACGCCCCACACCTAGGGTTGCCACCCGTTCATTATTTGTATGGACAGTACATATTTCAGATGCAACGTCCATACTGCAAACTGGTCCTAATATGGACATTGTTTTGTCCATATTTTAAACTTGTTACTTTTTTTTCAATGAAGCTTAATAGCAGCTAATTTAGTTTATTCAAAAGCTGTAAGTAAAAAGTCGAAAGCAGTAGGCCACCCTCAGTTTCGATTGGCGCCTTGGCTTAAGGCGGCTGTAGGACGAATTTAGAATATTTGTCCATATTTTGTTAAATTCAAAGGTGGCAACCCTACCCACACCCACACCCAGTCCCAGAAAGGGTCAATCCCTTGCGTCCAAAAAGACGCCGAAACGGAAGGCATTTCCGCTTTCTGAAGTAAAACTGAGGGCGGCATCCGTTATTGGACTTTTTTGCGCCCTGTGCGGGGGCACATGCTTAAGGCCAGCCCTGATGCTGGCATCCAAAAAACACATTGAAGAGTTGGCGCTGATGTATATGTTGTAGGACTACCAGTAGAATAAAAAGTGTAATTGGCCAATCTCGAGCAATCCTTTCGAATAATCGAATTTTTATTAACGATAATATACAATTTCATATTAATCCTGGGCAGTCACTTCTGCCTGGCATGGCCCAGTGCGTGCGCGGAATCGGGTCAGCCTGAAAGAAGCATCTTTGGCATCAGCTCGACCTCGGCACCGGGTGTGACTAAAGGCAGAAACGCTTCTTGGTGTCCTGGCCCAAACCTTGGACATGATAGGAACAAGATTAGGGGGAAAGTCCATGCTGCCTGTTTTTCCTTAGGTCTCCTCGCATTTTTACGTAAAAAAAAAAAAAAAAAAAAAAAAAAAAAAAGAAAAAAAAAAAAACCAGCACGTCCTACAGCCGCCTTAAGCCAAGGCGCCAATCGAAACTGAGGGTGGCCTACTGCTTTCGACTTTTTACTTACAGCTTTTGAATAAACTAAATTAGCTGCTATTAAGCTTCATTGAAAAAAAAGAAGGAAAAATAAAACACCAGCGCGTCGCACAGTCATATGAGAGAAGGGGAAGGTTCATATTCATATCGCTTTTCGATTGGATTCTCGCTTCTTTTCTTCTTCTTTTCTTCTTCTTTTCTTCTTCTTTCTTTTCTTCTTCTTTTCTTCTTCTTTCTCACCTGCCATCTTTTGACAAGGACTAACCCTGATCATTATTGATGATCCTATATCTGCATTTTGTGTCAGTGTCATCGTCTCCTACCTCATGATTCCACCGGGTAGAAAACTTGCATTTTGAGGCCAAAGGGTGAGTGCTGCGAATGTCGGCACTCTAAGCAAATTTTTCACTTTCACCCTGCTAGTGGTTTTCGTAATGGAGCCTCCTCGTTCATGTTGGGTCGGGTGATACCTTTATTATAAATCTCCTTGTACCGCAAACCTCGAGTGCCCTGGGGCTCTCCTTTCCGAGGGCCTGGGTCATAGGGGAAGTTAGGTCAGATGTTGGCAATCTCAGGACATCTACTGGTATAGAAGGCATCACCCTGTCGGGAATCTCGGCACACCTATGTATCACTTTCGTTTACAACGGACTCGAAAATGAATGCAACGACATAATAAAACAATACCTAGTGTGGAAGAGAAGAACGGAATGTGCAAAAGCCTAGCAAAATCACCTGATTTTGCAGGATTTTCGGAGTGCGCTTTGAGAAGGTAGCCACTGCGAGAAAACTACAGCAACATATACGGCTGTTCCAAGCCATGTTAACAATATTAGTTCTTCTATCTACGAATACTTATCTACCCGTGCCTAGGGGACTAGTAGTGGAAGCAGAAGTTTGACGATAGCAAAGTGCCGAGATGACTCCCAGTGACGACATTCGCAGCACTTGCCCTAGTATCTTCATGGTTTCCGTGACTAGTAACTTGTAAAAACAGCCTCCTCTTTCGGGTGACAGTACGCCGACTCGGATCAGAGTGGAGAGCGTTCTTCACAGCAATTAGATCTCTCTTTTTAAGGGGATCATGTGCAAAGAAGCGGACGGGATCAGAATGCTGGAGCGGATTTTGCAGCACGGTCGAAGAATTTCTACATAGACGTGGATGTGAAAGACATTTTATAGTAGACATGGGTCCGTCCGGGAAAAGACGAACCTGTCTGATATGGCATGCAGTAGATAGGGATCCGCTTTTCTTCAATGTGCGAGAGTAAGCCTCGTCGAATCGAATCAGTGGAACACGTTCAGATGGACTACAATCCAAAACCGCAAAAAATTATATGACATAATGATACATAGATGAGAACTGCAGAACTACGTATGGTAGGGTTGCTGGATGTGGATGCAGTTGTCCTCGTCGAAACGAAATCATCTCCCACTTTCAAGCTTCACGGCACCGTAGGCTTTACGGCGATAGTGTCACCTTTCTACGAGTGAACATAGGCCTACATGTATGGCTTTCCAAAGGACCAAAACAAGGGTGAAAACTGCATCATATGTGAGAATTACAAGCACAGGAGAGCCGCGCAGATAAGAAAGAGGTACATGGGCGATACGATAGTGGCACGGATGGCAAAAAAAGGATAAATATAAATAGCTGAGAATTCCGCATTATACATAACATTCAGTATGAAATTCACAACCACGTAATCCTGGATTCGCGCGATGCAATACATTAACGACTTCGAGCGGATTGCAAACGAAGAGCAGCTGAAGATCTGACGTGCCGTCCTCGTAAAAGAAGGGGCTAGAACTCTAAAATGAATTAAATATGCCTTCTGGATGAGGATTTGGCTTCAAATGCTTCCTCTACCAGATGCTTCCTCATTCGATTGCTTCCTCTTCCAGGTGCTTCCTCTTGCCCTCCCTTTTCCTCATCCGCTGTCGAAACTTTCATAATGATTCAAGGATAATTAATTAATCATCATTCCATATTACGCAACCCCGAAGCGCATAAATAGCAGGCTTTTTCAGACTTCAGATGAGAGGAAACTAGTAAGCAACAAAAAAACTACGTTTTCTGCAGCCTTTTTTCACTCGTTTGGGTTCAAGTTTTCAGATATACCTTGCATTATACGGGACTCAAACCATGTGGGGGGGAATCTAAATATTGTATGGAACGAATATTTATGAAGAGTACAAGTTTTTGCGATACTTCCATCTTCTTATGGATTCCTACGAGAATCACTTTCGCAACCCAGAGAGGTGTTTGTGCGAATTCTTCATCAGTGCGTTATGTCTGGATCATGTTGTCAATTACTAAAAGAGAGACAATCTGAGCATGACAGGAGCATTTTCGCCAAAGGACAATATGCATTGTATATGAATTCATCCGAAGTAGTCTCACTCTGTGTTGGTTTCTAACGAAGCTCGCATTCATGAATAGTGGAAATGAGAGATTTTCGTCAGCTCGTGAAGTCTCCAGTTATATCCGATTAAATTGTGATATTTCCCATGGAAGGGAAAGGTGAAGAGGACCCTTGCTACGTAGACCTGGACCTGCTGCAGACAGCCAGACAGCCATAAACCTTCATGTTATCATCGTCCATTTACGGTTCCAAGAGTTCAATGATTGAAGACTTAAATCGAGCATTTTTTAAGAAGATCCGCGGGGCAATTTTGCAGGAGAAAATTGAGAGTTGCA